TTCTGCAGGGCACACCTGCTGGGGGACCTCAGGATAGTCCAGTTCTACACCATCTACCTGGAGACGGTGTCCGATGCCACAGGCTGGGGACTTCCTCGAGAGGCTGGTGGCCAGCCCCAGGTGGTCTCTGTGCTTCGGACCGACCGGCTGTACATTGGTTTCCACGTCCCGTTGGATTCATTTGCTCAGTGCCAGCAGGACTCGGGAAACAGGGAGGGTCAGTGGTTTATGATGAAGGAGATGAAGAGGCCTGTGGGGGCAGGAGCGCGCACCCTCCAGGATCACCCCGCCATCCGGAAGCCTTGGAACCCTGTCCTGGGCTCATGGATTGGGTGAGGACCCCGCGAGACCTGTCTGTTCGACACTTCTTGGCCTCTCCTGCAGCCTCCCTGCCTCCAGGGTATGGGGCAGGAGCCCTCTGGAATGAAGAGGGTCCTCATGGCCTCTGACAAGGTGGGTCAGGGAACTTGTCTGTGGCCAGTTCTAAGGCAGAGAGCCAGGAGGATCAGAGTTTCTGTGGCCCGCGTGGGGAAGAGAAATCTGGATTCTTTGGCGGGCCTCGGGGAAGGAGAAGAGCCAATTCGCAGGGACAGAGGGGGTCGGGGCTCACTGCCCTGGGGGTGGGGGGACACGGGGAATTACCGTCTGATGGGTGTGTGGATGGAAGTGGATGGGGCCAGGGTGTAGACCATTGTGAATCTATTCAATGTCTCTGAATTGGGCCCTTAAAAATGGCCAAACTGCTAACTTTTACATCATGCACATTTTGCCACAATTAAAATAAATTTTAAAAAAAGGGACCAGCAGGAGATGGGAAAGACGACGACGTTTCCACGGTGGCTCGGCTCGTAGGAAATGCGCGTGTAGGGTGGACAAAGTCTGGTGTCCACCCATGGATTGGGTGGGTGGGGTGCGAGGGCCTCTCTGGAGGCTGGGTGAGTTCAGGAGTCTGGGATTCTTATTTATTTTTTCCCTACCGCGGAGCTGCATCCCCAGCTTTCTATTTTTTTAAATCTGAGACAGGTTTCACCAAGTTGCTGGGTCTGGCCTGGAACTTGCGATCCTCCCCACTGGATGGAATCACAGGTGCCAGGCAGGAGCAGGGGATTCTAATGTGACCCAGGCTGAGAACTCAGGTCCTCGCTGGGGCCCTGAGGGCAGGGGTGCCCCTCACGTGTGGCCCAGCTCCTACTGCTCGCAGAGYGTTGAGGTGACCGGGGATGTGCTGGGCAGATGTGTGGGTTCTTCTCATTCTGCAAAGAAGCCAAACGGCAAGATCTCACCTCTCCCCGGCTGATGGATCTGGGGCAAGCGTTGTGCCCTCTTGGAACCTCAGTTTCCCCATCTGTGAGATGGAGCAGTATGGCTGACCCTGCAGAGTGGAGGCCTGGTTGTCCCGGGTGCTTCACAAAGGTGGTGATGTTTACTGCAAGTGGCCACAGGAGTCTGCCTTCTTCAGGTCTGATGTCACTTTCATCCTTCTGCTTCCTGCCCTCTCGGCACTTGGTTTGCAGAGGGAGGGACAGATTGAGGACGAGGAAGCACACATCTGTGATTACACTTTGTCATGGGTCTGTGAAGGAGGTGACTCGGTGCAGGAGAGGGAAGCTGTATGTGCAGCTGTGGAGGTGGGAGGTGGGCCAGGCAGAAGGCACAGAAGGTGCAAAGGCCCTGAGGAAGAACAGAGCCAGGTGTTGGGAGGACTGAGAGGAGCCAACCTCCTGTGTGTGGCTTTGGGTCCTGAGTGAAGGGGACAGGAACAGTATGAAGGCTGAGATGAGGACAGAGGCCAGGTCAYGCAGGGACCCCCTGGGCTGCCTACCTCCTAGCGCTCTCAGACCCCCTCATTGGCTGTATGTCCTGGGGCCTTTGAAGTTGAGAGAACACTAGTGTGGGGGGCTGGTGAAGGCCAGGCCTGGGCCCTGGCCTGGGGGCTCCCTCACCTCCCAGCTGCACCCCAGCTTTCCACCGAGTAGGCTCCAGAGCAGCTGCTGTGCTGCAGTGCTGGGCAGATCATCAGCCTCCCGTGCCCCCGTTTCTCCATCTGTGAGACAGGGATGGCAGCATCCGTGAGTCGGAGCAGAGGGCTGGGGACAGACACAGGGCATCCTGAGCGGTATGTGACTGTCCTCCTTGCGTCTTGGAGCCTGACAGCTGGGCTTGCATCCCGCCCTCTGTTGGCCAACATATTTATCACCAGACGGGGACGGAGCTGGTCTTAGGTCCCTCCTTCCACTCTGAGTGACAGAAGAGAGTAAAATCACAGCAGGGCAGATGCGCCCGTCTTGCTGACCGCCCACAGCCAGCCTTCTTAGCACCAGGTGCAGATKAATTGCTTCAATTCTCACAGCAGCTCCGAGCCCCACAATCACCCCCGTTTTGCAGACAGGGAGACTGAGGCTTGCTGGGGGGARGACAGCACGGGTCCAAGCCTGGAGTCCTGAGCTGCCAGCCCTGGAGGCAAACAGATGGCACGGCTGGCCCCAAGAGCCCCCTGGGGCTGCCACGGAGGAGGGGGCTTCTTAGCCGGGGCCTCCAAGGGTCAGCAGTATCCACTGTGATACCAGGTGTGTGGCAGGACCCTGGTGCTCCCTGGCAAGGTCCAGGCTCCTGAGAGGGTGGCCAGGGGCCAGGCCCTGGAGGGAAGGAGAGAGCCTTTTAAGGAAACATTTCTCTGCTTTAGGAGGAGAGAGAGTGAGACAAGCCACACTCAAGGACATGACCAAGCCAGGACTGGCCGGCCTGGGGGCTGGGGGCGGTGGGGGGCCGTGTCAGGCCCTCAGCTGAGGTGACCGCTGGGGGGACGCTCACCTCTTGCCCTGGGACCCAGGTTCTTAGAGGATGTCTTTGCCTGGGGACCAGAAAGGGGCTGGGTCAGGACCCCTGGGCCAGTTCTTCCCATGGCCTTAGAGTGGGTTTGGGAACAAGACCCTCCTGCGTGTCTGAGCCTGCCCCCGCCTCCGGAGGCACCCTCGCCCCATCCTGCTTCCCCAGGGCCTCCCCTCGGGGTGGAGGCCTGGCCTCCCTCCTGTGGGGAAGGGACCAGGCCCTTTTCCTGCCCTTGGTCCTGCAGGCAGGGTCCCACAGCAAGGCRCCGTCCTGTGTGTGGTGCCCGCTCCCCCAGGACCTGAGACCCTTGGTGACAGAGTGAGTCTGGGGAGAAGACCCTGGGGTCGGACCCATGACTCAACCCTCCTGTCCCCCATCACAGTGGGGGCTGGGGCTGTGCCTAGCAAGGACAGCAGTGTCCCCTGCGGCTGAGACCGTGTCTGGTGGGCAGGGCAGGCAGGGGGTCCTGCAGGCCATAGGCAGCCCCGGGGACCTTCTGTTCCCTCCTTGTCTCCCTCCACCCCATCCCCAGGCCTAGTTCCCTTAGGGACCTCCTCTGAAATGTCACCCATGGTTCCTGCTTAGGTGTACTGAGAGCCCCGGCTTCTGGGAACAGCGTCTCCGTCTCTCCTCATTCTCCTGGAAGTGGGGCCCTGATTGATAAGGCCCACTTCACATCTTGTCCTGGGAATCAGCCTGCCGAGGCTTAAACCCCAACCACTTTTCAGCTGTGTGACTTTGGGCAGGTTGTTTAACCTTTCTGTGCCCCACTCACATCCCTCACTGGGGATATGACAGTCTCTACTGAGTTATTGAAAGAATTCCATGAGTAAAGCATTTATATTAAAGCCTGTCACTGGGACATATTCAGTAAGTATTGATATTATTCGTGTGTGTGTGCGTGTGTGTGTGTGGCGGGGGCATCTGGTTCTGTCCTGGCCTACTGTTGAGTGAAAGAATCAAACATCAGGACTCAGCTGAGGCCCTTCTGCTGGAGAGTGAGCTGGCCGTCACGTGACTGGCCCAAGAACCCGGGGACGCTCACTCTGGCTCCTCCATCCCCTCAGAGCTTGGACACAGTCACCCGGGCGTCCTCGTCTGGGCTGGTGTGTGAAGTCCGGAGAGCCCTGAGGGCTGGCAACACGGGTCAGGTGGAGGGGGCCAGCCTGGTGGCCACTGCGCAGCCAGTGGCAGTGGGGACCTCACATCAGGCAGCACGGGTGGTGGCCAGGAGGGGCTGCCCTCTCTTTGGCCACTCAGGGCTCGTGTCCAGACACGCTGATGCCTGAGGGACAGCGCCCTTCTGTCCCCTGTGTGGGCCCCTTGCCTGGTGCTTGGGTCGGGAACTGGAGCCAAGGTGGAGCTCTGAGTTCCAAGAAAAATGTGTCCAGCTAGAGAGGAGGGGCAGAGGCGGTCTCTGATAAATTCCCACACAAGTGTCAGGGTGCTGGCTTGGCGGCCTGGCCTGGCGAGGGGCCGGAAGGGAGAGAGCCCTGGAGCAGGGAGCTGGCCTGCCCCTCGCCACCCTCTGGTTCCTCCACGTCTGGGGGCCCGGCTGCCAGGTCCTTCTGCGGATCAGAGGGGACGGGAGGAGATGAAATCGATGAAGACACCCGCGGCCTCTGTGGATGAGCCTGCAGGCCCCTGGCCGGCGCGCTTCCCGCACTCTGGGAAACTTGGCCRGAGTCAAGGTCCTGCGGTTCTCACTTTGGGTGAGATGCTCTGGCACTGGGGAGAATCCGAGGGGGTGACTCTTYCTTCTCTGGAGGTCTTCTCGGGGCTTTTCGACATTTTACCCGCTGCAGACAAACCGACAGAGTGCAAAGGAAAACCAACCGTAGTCCGAATCCCATGAGCCTCTATTGTTACGATGCTGGTGTGTTGGCCTCCAGCCTCCCAGGCCAGGTCTGGTATTTTGGGCGTCATTGTAATGGTGACATGCGCTCCATCAGACTTGCCATCTGCGTCCCCTCCTCCTCCCCAGGTGCCACTGCCTCAGCATCTCTCTGTGTTGCTGGTGGCCTTTTGAGGTGCCCTCCCCCAGGGAGGGATCATGTGTGCCTGTAGGGACGGGGTGTCTCACATGGAGGTGGCACATGGAGTGACCTCAGGAGGCCCGGGTCTGTGCCCATGACAGATGCTAACCTGCCGTTTCTCTGCTCYTCCCACAGGTGGCTGCCCCGTGCATTCCTCCGTCCAACCATGAACTGGTGGTGAGTGACAGCCGTGCCTTCCCCTGCCGGCCCCTCCTGCAGCTTGTGTTGGCCCCGAGTGTGCTGCAGACCGAGTGCCGGGCCGTGGTGGGAGGAGAGGGGTCAGCGTCCCTGGGCTGAGGCTGGACGGGGAGGAAGTGAGTCATGAGGTCTCTTCTGATGAGATGCAGGGCCTGCTAGGTCCAATCTCGAGACTTCAAGTCCTTGGAAAATCCCATAAAAGGGCATCTTGTACGTCTCCAGGCCTGGCCAGGTGCCTGTTGTCCCAGGGCTTGGAGGACCAGGGGGTGCCCTGGCATCCTCTTCAGTCTGCCTGTCCCGGGTCAAGTGCCCTTCAGGAGAGGCAGGGGGATGGATGAGACGATCCAGCCAGTTTCCACATCCAGGTGACCTCTGTCCCTCCCCTGAACTCCTTGGCTCCACGTTTCTGCCCTCCTGACATTTCCCCCCTCCTCCCCCGTCAGGTTTCCAGAGCAGCTGGACAGGGGCAGGCCCCGCGAGCTGCGGGCTGTGCTCAGGGACTTGCTGTCGACGGGTCCCAGCTGGACCGACTGGGGCTGTGGGCAGCGCTTCCTCCCCGCCCCTCTTAGGCCTCACAGGTCCCCCTGGAGCGCAGGGGAAGGGGTCCCCACGTGTGCCCGCGTGTCCTGGGGGCACCATGGGTACACATCTGACAGGCTGCTGCGGGGTGTCTCTGGCGATGCTGATGTTGGGGTGTCCCCGCAGCTGTAGCCATCCCGCCTACCAACGTGGCCACTTGCTCAGCCCTGACTGGGCACACAGGCCACGTGATCTCCTTTTGCACCCGCATCCACTCGCTATGTGAAGGTGGGCTGGTCCCCCTCTTTCTGTTTGGACCTTGGTTTTCCTTTCTGCCCCAGAGAAGGGGGGACCGGACCCTCCCACGGCCTCTGTGCAGACGCGTCCCTTGCCTCCCTGTTCCCTGGTGGTCCAGGGTAGTGTCGCTCTTCTCTGCCTGGCCCAGGCCCTATTTTCCTTCCCTGCAGGTCCCTCGTCCTGGCTCACTAGGGTCGGACCCCCCTGGGCCTCGGCTGCCTGGCCTTGTGCTCCAGATGGGAGGTGTTGGTCACACGGAGCCTGGCCGAGGTCATCTGGCAACAGCAGGGCTCGGGGGCCGGGTGCTGCAGGGGGTGGGCCAGAGCAGCCTGGCCTGGAACTACCAGAGACCAGCCTCTCAGGGGTCACAGACGGCCACTGGCCACCCGTGGGAGCCTGAGGGGGTGGGTGGGGAGGCAGGAACACGTGTCTCTCCTCATTCCTGCTGAACCTCCACCTTGTGGCCCAGAACAGAATGTCCTTGGCAGGTTGGGGAGGTTAGGGTCCACGGTAGGGACCACCAGGAGGAGCCAGCTGTGTGGCCACTGGGAGTCTCGTGAGTTTTGTTGATGGGAGGCAAGGTCAGGGGTCAGGACAAAGGGGAATAGGTTGGCATTCCCGCTGAGGCGAGGCTCCCGACGGGAGGGAGCTGGCCTGCCTGAGGGAGGCCCGGGGAGTCTGTGTGTCTCTGGGGTGGGCTCCACCTGTGGAGGGGGCCTCTGACCCCCAGGAGGTTGGATYAGCCACCCAGCGGTAGAGCGGTGGCGTCACCCTGCTCCTCGGCCTCCGCGCCTGGGTCAGAACCCAACTTCCCATCAGTGGTTCAGAGCCAGGGAATTCCATTTCCTCTCTCTGGATCCTGCTCCCTGCTCCCCTCGATCCCAGGTGCTTCTCCCCCATTCCCTAAGTTCAGGTGTGTGACCCTGAACCGAAAGTTCAGCTGCTCTGATCCTCAGGTTTCCTTCTTTAGAATGGGGGTTACTATAGTACCCACTGGGTGAAGAATAAAATGAGCAAAGTCACCCACTTGGCCTGTCCAGCCCTACGTGACAGGTCCCTCTTCCCTCATCTTCTTTTAGCAGTGTCTCCCTCCCTCCCTTTGCAGCCACCGGGCCGTTCTGCTGATCCTTGAACCTACCAGGCCCGATTCTGCCTCAGGGCCTTGGCACTTGCTGTTCCCTCTGTCTGGAATGCTCTTCCTGCAGATACCTGCAGGGCTCTTCATCGGGTCCTCCCTCAAAAGTCAGCCTCGTCTTTCTTCCCTGCTTTGGTTGCCCCTTAGACAAACCATCCTCTGATTCACCAGAGGTCAGTCTTTGGTTGGTTGGTTGCTGTGCCCCTGCTTTCTTGCACACAGTAGGTTCTCTACTCGTGTTTACTGGAAGGCCGGCACCCAGCCTGATGCCTGGCACAGGTTAGGTCTGCCACACCAGGAGCTGGGGCACTGTGGCTCCTGGTGACCCTGCTGCCTGCCGTCAGGGGCTGTGGAGTTCTGCCCGTGGGACCCACCTCGGGGCAGCTGTCCTTAGCTGGCGCTCTGTTGCTGTCCCCAGAGTGGGAAAGTGGCCCAGGGGAAACCAGGGAAAAGTGGCCCCCAGCACTCAGCACCTGTTTCCTCACGGCCAAGTGCTTTGAACAGGTTCACAGGAGGGAGGAAAGGGCGGGTTTGTATTTTTCCTTCCTTTTCCATTCTCTGCCTGCCCTCCGGTCTCAGCAGGGCTGCTCCGCGGCCTCCCTGCCCCCTCACAGGGTGCGTCTGTCCATCTGTTGGTCTGTCCTGTTTTCTCCCTGGCTCCCTGTGACCCCAGCTCTCCTCGGCCTTCTCTCTGGTCTTGTTTCAACCCGCCCCCCCAGGATTAGCGCCCCTCATTTCAGGACCCGCAATTTCAGCCCAGCTCCGGGCCCTGCTGGCCAAACACATTTTCCAGTCCTTGCCCAGGCCGCCAGGGCAGAGTGGCTTAATCTTCAACCCCTTGTTTTCGTCTTACTCAACAGATGTTGCCCAAGTGCCTGGGTAGAAGGGTCCTAGGGTCGGCCCCCTCCTGGGGCCCTCCGGGGGTAGGGGGCAGGATGCGCGAGGGGAGGGCTTGTTTGCCATGGACACTCCTGGTCCTTGGAAAGAGCTGAGGCAGCTCTTCTCAAGTTCTGGAAAGTAAGAGTCGGAGGAATTTCCCCGTGGCATTAGCCAATGGAGTGGCCACCAAGGTCGTCAGCTGCCAGGACCTTCTGCCCTTGCAGCCTGGCACCCAGGAGACCTGGGCGAGGGGGGCAACAGTGTGCAGGCCGCTTCCCTTGGACAGGCCAGCCCATGGCGGGGGTGCAGGATGTCCTTGTGGAATGACTTGGAGGCAGGGATGGGGAGTGGGAGGGGGAAGAGGGGGATGGGGGGCGGGGACAGTCATAGAGCAGGGCCTCCCCTTATCCAAGGTTTCATGCTCCTTGGTTTCGGTTACCCAAACTCAACTGAGAACCAAAACTATTGAATGGAAAATTCCAGAAACAAACAATTCCCACATTTTAAATTGGGTGCTCTTCTAAGTGATATGGTAGAATCACTTGATATTTGGCTCTGCCCTACCAGGGACACTAGTCATCCTTATGTCCAGTGTATCCACACTGTATAAGCTACCTGCCCGTTAGTTACTTAGTAGCCATCTTAGTTATCAGATCAACCATCATGATATTGCAGTGCTGTGCTCAGTGGCCCTTTTTTCCCCTCCAAAATGGGTCCAAAGCCCAAAAGTCGATGCTGATCATTTGAACATACAAAAGAGCAACCATAAAGTGAGTCCTTTAAGCAAAAAGGTAAAAGTTCTTCATGTACATGTAGGATTCAGTACCATTCATGGCTTCAGGCATTCACTGGGGATCTTGGAACTCTCCCCACATGTGAGGGGGTCTTTTATTACAACGACAGTGAAGTGCTAATCCTTTTGTGGACCTTTGTTGCAAGTTTTTCAAAATAAACTCTCTTAATCCTGACAATGGTACAAAGGAGGGGCTCTGGGCTTTATCCCCGATATCCGGGATGAGGAACGGAGGCTAAAGGCTGCAGACCTATTAAAAGGGAGAGTGGGATTTCCACTCAGCAGTCTGCCATCAGGGTCCACCTTCCTAACCACTAATAATGACAAACGTCACTTGTCATTTGCGTAGCACCCGCAGTTTTCAAAGTCCTTCCCATGACATGAGGTCACTGGAGACCTGGGCAGGCCCGAGCCCATCCTGGGCAGGCGGGAAGAGCATATTGTACAGTGGAGCAAACTAGGGTTCAGGAGAGGTGGGTGTCTTGTCCATGGTCACACAGCTAGCATGGCGGGGGCTGAATCGCGAGCACACCCTGGTCTGCTTTCTCCCAGGTACCCCAGAGCCTGCTCCTGATGTAAGAACCTTGTGTTACCAGGTGCTGGGCTTCTCCTGTCCCTCTTTCTAAATATCTAGCTTCTCTGTTAGCTAGTGGGCTTTGGGAGAGGGTTTGTCTGTCTATCCATCCTAATAACAAGTAACTCCAGAGCACCTACTATGTGCCAGCCAACATGCTAGGGCTGCACTGTTTTTTCCTTGCCAGAGTTGCCAGGACTTCTTTTCTAAGAAAACACMCGGGCCCTAAGATTTTAAAATGACCTCCCCAAGGTGCCCAGGGTTGGATCAGTACTCGCTGCCCCATGGAAGAACAGTGGGGTGCTGMCTGCTCTTAGAGACGGCTCATGGCCTGTTGTCCATCCAGGATGGAGATGGCMGTGTTTCAACCTGGGCCAGATGCATTTCACCCCAGGGCACTGAGTGGTCATGGGTGGTCATCTTTGGGGAATCCTGGAAAATGGAGCCATGTCAAGAGAGGAGCCTGACCAGGGGATCCTCAGCGTAGGGAGGGAAGTTGAACAGCCCACCTTGTGCCTCCCCTAGGGCCAGTTATTCCAGAGCGGGGACATGGGGTGGGTGCAGAAGGCAGGTGGGCATGTGCTACGGGGCCAATGGACTTGTCCTTGGTTGTACCCTGAAGCAGAGCCTAGTAGGTTTCACTAGAAGATGTTGTGAGCAAGAGGAGATTTGGGCATAAAGCTGAGTTTCTTAACATTGAAAATGGCCCACCGGGCTGTCTAGTGTCCACTGATGGGTGGACACGGGGGGTGTGAGGCCCAGTGGGGACGCCTCCCCTTGGG